AGCAGAGAGGTGGGCTGGCCCAGGTCCTTTCTGAAGCCCCCCAAGAGCTGCATGCCCCAGAGAAACCAGCAGAACCCCTCCAGCATCTGCTTTTGGTGAGATACAGAGGAAGAACCTGACACGCAGCTTCATGTCTCTGCCAGTGCCCCGTCAAAAAAGCTGCAGAAAAACTGGAGATGCAGCAGAGCACTAGAGATACACTAGAAACTTGCCTACGAGCTTCTGCACGCTAAGCACGCATGAGATGCTTACTCACAGCAACGCCGCGGGCCGCAGCTCAAGCTCCAGTGCAGCTGGCGGGGGATGTGGCACGGCCGTGCAAGTGCCACCCTGTGCCAGCACAGGGACAGGTACCTGCTGATGCCCCAACCAGGGCAGCTCCTCTGTTTTGTCCCCCAGTGAGCATCCCCGGCGCCCCACCGGATGCCACTTGGGAGCAGACAGGAGGGGACAGCAGTGTGGCTGCCCCCAGCAGACTCACGGGCTTCACTTTGGAGGGATCGTCCAGCTCGAGCCGGGCGATGACGCAGCCCGCCTCCAGCAGCGCGCCCGGCCGCTTGACGTAGCGCACCCGCCCGGCCTCCTCCACCGCCAGCGTCACGATGATCTTCATCACCTGGGCGAGGATGGGTGAAACGGTCACCCAGCTGGCAGCGCCCGCATGGCGCAGAGTGCCTCGAGCATCGCGGCAGCGTTGGTGGGTTTCATCTCTGCCATCCAGCAGCCTTGCAGGAAGGAAGCTCCTCCAGGATCTGCAAAACTCACCTCGATCTCCGCAAAAACGTTCCCTTCAGCCACGTGGCCACCATCGTCCACCGTGTACTGCAGCAGCTTTCCCGCGGAGGGCGAGCGCAGCACCGTCGGGTCCTTCTCCTTCTCAAAGTCGCACGTTTTGTTGCCGATGGTGATCCGGTATCTTAGAGAGGGGGAAAAAGTCTCACCAACTGGCCACCGGTCAGCAAGAGGGGCTGGTGGGGGCCCAGCAAGAAGGTACCTGTCAATCTCCTCCTTCATGTAGGTGGTGTAGCTGTTGCCATCGTAGGAGAGCAGCAGCCCGCCGTCGTTCAGCCGGTGCACGTCTATCTCTATGTGAGTGCGGTTCATGATGATGACATACGTCGTCAGGGACTGACGGGCAACCTGCGGGCAGCGACCAGGGAGACCCCTCAATGCCACCCCCTGAAACGCGTGCAACAGCCTTTCTAGGGGCTGGGGAGGATGGCAGGGGTGAGGAGCGTCTCGCCATGCTCGGGGCAAGGGCCGGTGGAGGAGCAGCATGTTGCCAGGGGACAGGGCTGTGCCAGGCAGGGCACCAAAGAGCTGGTTCAACTGGCAGCCCAGAGCTGGTTTAACTCATGGCTCACCTGCTGCTTTCATTGTCAGTAGGGAGCTTTGACATGAAGTTCAACTAATTGGGTTTAAAAGCAAGAAGAGGAGGTCCTTTATTAAACTCAGGGCAACAGGATGTGTGTCAATGTCTGTCTAGTTAAAATGACGTTATTAACCTCATTTTTATGTTGCACGTTTTTAAAGGACAGCCTCGTATTTATGGCATTTCTCTCCTTCAAGACCCGAGCACATGTCCCTGTCCCCACAAGAAGCGCTGCAGCCCATTCAGGAGGAGCATGGCCCAACCCTCACCTGGAGAATGTACTTCACGCCCTCGTGGACGAGCTCCACGTCGACGATGTTCAGCAAGGAGGCTGCTGGCAGCACCTGCCCCCTGCAACACAACGGATGGCTCGGGTGGCACAAGCAGTTCCTGCCCTGCACGCCGGCGGGGAGCCAAGTGTGCGAGATGTCAGCAGTGCAGCTGCCCGGACTCCGAGCCTCCCAAGGCACGGCACGAAGGTGACCGGAGGGAATAAGCATCCGCTTTAAATGACCCACGTGAGCACCTTGTAGCAACACATCTGGAGGCTGGCCAGATACTGGCAAAACAGAAACGGGCATGGGGGAGAGCCCCGGGTGTCCTCCAAGGCTGGAGGAATAACCTTGACGGTCAAGTGCAAAAACAAAAGCAAGCTGCACTCAGCCAAGCCACTTTCCCTTGAAAAAGCTGCTTTCCCAACCATGTGAAACCTTTTCCCCTCTCCAGATAAAGCGATAGCCGAGAAGCCGGAGCCGCGAGTCGGGGCAGACACCCAGTTCCTGACTGTTGCAGTGCCAGTGCCTCCAGATTTGCAGAGCCTTTGCAGCAAAAGTGGGAAGGAAGATGGCCCGGGGAGAGCAACACCAGGGTCTCCATGCTCGCAGGAGCCACCCGGGCAGCCAGATGCCATCCCTTAGGACATGCACTCCCCGTGCCCATGGCCCAGCCGAGCCCCCGTGGGGCAGCCCCCGCTCCACACCTCTCCAGCCAGTGCAGGAAGTCGGTCATGCACGTCCTGAAGGCAGCGTCCGCCACGTTCAGGGCACCGCAGACGACACCCAGCATCGTGTCCGGCTTCTCCGCCTGCGGGGCGCAAAAAGAACGGGGTTGGGTCTCACACCAGGGGAGGAGCAGCAGCCCTGGGGTGGCTGGTGGCCCCCACCTGCACTTTCTCGGCGATCAGATGGTCCAGCCAGCCGGTGTCTATCTCATTGTTCTGGAAGCTCTCCGTCTCCAGCAGCTTAATCAGATACTCCACTGTGGTCCGGAAATCGCCACGGATAGACAGCTCTTTCAGGGCCACCACCATGTTCCTTTTAGAGAGCAAAACTCTCCGTTAATGACCGACATGGTGGCACTTGGCTTTCAGCAGAGGAAACCAGGGAACCGCAGGGACTGGGGTGATGAGCTCCCGAGCCCTGGGGGCTCTCGTGGCTGCATGAAACAGCCCCACAGTCATAAAACACTTAAATACCCAAGACCAGGTTGGATGAGGCTTTGGGCAACCTGGTGTAGTGGAAGGTGTCCCTGCCCATGGCAGGGGGGTTGGAACTGGATGATCTTTGAGGTCCCTTCCAACCCAAACCATTCCATGATTCTACGAAGACAGACTCTTTACATGTCAGCTCAGTTACTGAATGAGTGTTTGCTGCTCGCTGGCACTAAGCACCAGCTTAGGAGATCACTACAACATGTCTTCAAGGACCAGGTTGATGAAGTGGGGCTGTAGCACCAGCACAGTCCAAAAACTTTGGCTTTAACCAGACACTCTCTGGTCTGCGTTTGTGTTTGCAGCACAAACAAGCCACTCAGCACAGCAGCCCCGTTCTGTTCTTCGCAGATAAAAGCCACTTTTCCCAGCTCATGCCCTCATTGCGAGTCTTCCCAAGGACACCTACTCTCCACCCTGTCCCACCACACTCACGAGATGGCCTCTTCCCGGTTCTCTCCCCACGAGAAGCAGTGCCCGAACTGGGAATCGGCAAATTCGTGCAGCCCCCCGGCCGCCGCCACGCTGAAGTACCCCCAGACGTTCTTGCTGCTGCGGAAGTTCAGCTCCTGCACCGTCCCCGAGCTGGGCTTGAAACCCTGAGCGCAGGCAGAGCAGAAGACATGGAGAAACCAGGCTTGGGGCTCACGCAGCGTAACCAGGGAAGGGGAGCCCCCGTGCCGTTTGTCAGTCTGCACGTGGATCTCACCGATCCCATGGGTTCGATGCCCATGAGCAATGTCCAGCTGAGGAGAACCGTGCCCAGTTCAACCCCTCGAGCAGCAGGGTCCCTCTGTCCCCATGCCCGTCCCGCCCTGGCTCACCTCCTCAGGGTTCTCGCTGGTGATCCGGGCAGCGATGACGTGGCCCCTGGGCACAGGGGTGTTGGTGGGGCTGTGGAAGCAGATGGGTGTATCGCCCCAGGGGTTCTCCCCGTACAGCACCCGGATGTCTTTTATCCTGTGCAAGGGGATGCCCATTGCGATCTGCATGAGGAACAAGGAGGATTTTAGCTGCTGGAAAAAGACTTTAGAGCCAAATTACAACCGGGAGACATCAATAGATGGTCTGAATGAAGAGCGAGGGGAAGAGGTGCCACACTGCGGGCAGCTGCTCCTGGCAGGGAGCCGGGGCAAAGCAAGGGATGATGCTACATTGCTTCCACCTACACTCTAGTGCATGGGACAGTTTCCCTCTGCCAGGCTCCAACCCAGCACTTCTCCCTAAATTACAAAATTGCTTCATCTAATAACACCTCGCGAAGTCACCCGCGTGCACCCACGTACCTGCAGCTGGGCAGCAGGGAGGTTCACGTCCGCGATCATCTCCGTGCAAGGGTGCTCCACCTGCAGACGTGGGTTCAGCTCGAGGAAGTGGAAGCTCCCGTCCTCGCTGTAGAGGTACTCGACGGTGCCCGTGCTCACGTAACCCACCGTCTGGGCCAGGCGGACCGCGCACTGCAGGAGCAGGCAAAACCACCAGCGGCGGTGATGACCCTCCGTTCACCGCAGCAGAGTCAGGGTTGTCCCAAGCAAAACGGCAGCACAGAGTCCTTGCATGGACCCACGCTGGGGCTCCCTTACTTGCTTAGAAGCCTCGGTGCCAAAACCCATGATAAACCCAAAAAAGATCAGAGCAATTCCTGACTAAAACCCCATGCTAGGGGTGGTGAAGACCAGGCCCACCCACCTGCTCCATCACCTCGATGACGGAGGGAGCTGCGATGGTGGTAGGTGCCTCCTCGATGATCTTCTGGTGCCGGCGCTGGATGGAGCAGTCGCGGCCGAAGAGGGAGATGGCGTTGCCGTACTCATCGGCCAGCACCTGCACCTCCAGGTGCCGCGCGTGCTGTGCCAGCTTCATCAGGAAGATGGGGGACCCGGGCGCTTCTGTCTGCACCTGTGGTAAGAGAGAGGGTCATGCTCTGGCATCACCTCCCAGATTCATTCCAGGACGGAGGCAGGTCCTGCGGCAAGCCCAGGTGGGAAGCACAAGACACCCAGAGAGAGAGCAGGACCCTGCTGCGTGCCCAGGGATGGGGATGGCGGCTCTGGGCACCTCTCACCTGCCGGAAGCAGGGACCAAATTCCTCTGCTGCCTCCACTTTTCGGATGCCTTTGCCCCCACCGCCTTCTGCTGCCTTGATCATCAGCGGGTAGCCGATCCTCTTGGCCACCTGAAGGGAGACAAGGACTGGGGTGACTGAAGTGCTCTGGACTCCAACCCATCACCCCAATGGTCCACCCTGCCCCAGCCCCAGGCATCCTCAAGCAGGATTGCCCCGAGTTGCATCCGTGCAGAGGGACAAACTGCTGCAGAAACATCCTTGCATCGCCATCACTGTGCTGGGAGGCCAAAAGGACCAGGGCATGCAGGCTCCAAGAAGAAATAATGGTGGGGGGCAGACAAGCAACTGCCCGTGGGCTTGGCTTTACCTGCAGGCCTTCCTCCACATCCTTCACGCAGCCCTGCGCGTATGTCTCGAGGGGGATGGTGATCGTCTGCTGATGCTTCTGGTCCTCCTCAGACCATTGGGCCAGCAGACCTACAGGCACAGCCAGGGCTACAGTCACCACCAGGGTAGCATGGCTGGCTCTGCCCAAGGAGCTGGGGACCCCACACTGGCACATGCCATTTCCCCTGTTTCCATGCATCCCCGTCCCCGGCCCGACCCAGCATCTTCTTGGCTGCAGTAGGGTCCCCCATATCTGCAGCAGCCAGGTTGTGGACCCCAACCCTGGTGCTTGCTTTGAGGGAGAAGGAGAGGCAGAGAGGAGAGAAAGGGGGGAGTGGGGAAGGTGCACGGGGCCAGGGAGGAGGCGCTTACCGCTCCCACTCCACGGCAGCGTGGGGATCTGGACCGTCTGAGCCACGATGGTGGAGGCGACTTTGTCCCCCAGCGCCCACATGGCATCGCTGGGGGGACCTTCGGAGAGGGAGGGAAGGGGTGAGCTGGGCCAGCCTGTTCCCATCGCATGGATGCTGCAGAAAGCTGCTCCCCAGTGAGCTGGCACCATCAGCCCTTCTGCAAAGTGTAGGGGCGTGGGAAACTCCCAAACCCACTGCCTGGTTCAGGATGGAGTTTGATCCTTCTTCAAGAGAAGCCCAGGCCGTGCCCTAACTGGGCAGCCCACCAGGTCTGCTCCCACCCAACGTTCCTCCATGAATGCTACATCAGCATGAGCATGACAGGGAAAACCCAGAAAACAGTGGGATTCCTGGGACAGCTCCAGGAAACCAGCCTAGGGACTACCACACCACAGGGTGGATGTGCCAGCTGCACGAAACGGGCATTGCCCAGCGCGGTGTCCCTGGTGAGTGAGCATGCATGGACATGCTAGCCCGATGGCCACTGTTCCCTCCAGCACTGGGAAGGCAGCAAGACCTTACCTAGGAAAGCTATCCCGTTCTTCTCCAGCAGCTCTGGCAGCTTGGGGTTTTCTGAGGCATGTCCCCAGCCAGCCCACACCGCCTGGCACAAGAGGAGCAGCGCAAGCCGTTACCTCCCTACCCTGGCATCCTCCCATTGCCCACAGCATCGCGCCTGGCTCCTCTGCACGGAGGGATGTCACCCCATGTCCGAGTGCCCCTTCTTCCCCATCCACTTCCCTTGGCAAAGAGGTGGGAGGCCCATATGGGCTGCTACCTGGACTGGGATCCGCTTGGAAATGTCCACGATCAGCTCCACGTTGGCGTAGTTGTTGTTGTTGGTCCCGCCGGGGACGGGCACGTAGTGGTCTGCCAGTTTGATGTACTCTGAAAGGCAGCGCGTGGCAGCGGTGGGAGCCAGTCCCCCGAGCTGCACCCCACCCGCATGCTGCCCCTTGTGCCCCTTCCCCAAATCCTACATCCCAGGGAGGCTGGAGGTGGGGGAAAATTATTTACTCCTGGATCTGGCCGCACAGGAGGAAAGCGTGTGACCCCGGGCTGTGCAGAGCTCCCCGGGCAGCAGCTCAGGGGGAAGGAAAAGGCTGCCCCAGGGCAGGGGAACACCCCTCGCTGGGATGTTTTAGGAATTACCTGCGTTAGCCTTGAGGTCTTCAGGAGTGACCATGACCACGAACCGGATGGCGCGCTCGTTTCGGAACATCTCGTAGGCCCACCGGCGGATGGAGCGCATGCACTTCACGGCGGCGATGCCGTTGTTGGCGATGAGGACCTGGGGGGACGGGAACGTGGGTGTCAGGCAGAAACCTCTCCTTGCTGCCACGAAAAGCAACCACCGACCACCCGGGCAGAGGCAGCGGCATGCAGGGAAAAGACCTTCTCGATGACACGGTTGCCCCCAAAGCGGGTGACGAACTCGGCCGGCGAGGCGACGGTGAAGTCCCGTTGCAGATCCATCTTCCTGTGCTCGCGGCCCCTCTTCATCAGGTGCAGCCCGGACATGCTGGGCCTGCAGCGGCACGGGTGCCATCAGCAAGCTCACAGCCATGCCAGCGAGCCCTCGCCGGGTGCGAGGAGCACGCTGCTGCCAGCTGGGGCTTCCCAGGGGGT